ACCCCTATTCCTGAGTCATAAAGCCGCGGTCATCTCACACTGGGCCGGATTCCAATCAATGTATTAGCGGTCTGCAGTAAATTACATTGATAACCTGATTAATCATCCGCTCTCCTACAGGGGAGGAATATAGGACAAGAAATAATCACAGCCAGGATTATCATTGTACTGTCATCAGCTGTAATGAATGAACAATGCTGAACATCGTGCAGCCATCTGCCCGTCTATGGCATGCCCAGTCCATGATCGTACAATGTCATATGATATATTCTCTTATATGAGGAGAGCACGGACATCACTGGGCGATCCGCTTTGTTCTACAGCAGCCAGCCAGAACAAAGATGGATCACATAACGGATCACATCCTTCGGGGCTTCCATGTGTCTCCATCACAAAGACAACACGACATACCTCACACATGACCGGACGAGCCGACTGTCAGCTGGGCCGGTAAACATGCTAAAGGCCGCCGGCGCCCCATTATCACCCACTCACCGCCCGGGAGCCGCCACTCGTGTCCTCCGACCAATGACACCTCTATGGAGCTCTACATGACACACAAACTACATCCACCGCCCCGCTCCAATCACATCCTCCCTCTGCGGGAACAACTACAATCAGCTCAGGCAGCCTGAGCCTAACGGCACCGAGGGAAAGGGCGGGGCTGAGGAAGGATGGAGGACCGCTTTCTGCGCAGGCGTACTGCGCCCTGTTGGGTCACTGCTGCAACAGCCAGTGAGGAGGGGTGAGAGTGTCATAGTGGGGACTGCGATCCCTCCTTCACAGGCTTGGAACCGGTTCAAACACCGGAATGTGATATTAAAGGATAAATAAAGCAGGTCTCTGACGTCACATATGAGCTTTAACGTGTTCGAGCAATTCAAATGTAATTTTCAATATTTCTATTTTATATATCTGCAGCTTTCATTAAAGAAGAACTCTAGGCCTCGTGGTGGGGCACCCTCAGCACTGAAAGGGTTAAGTGATTGTTTTGGCATAGGGTCTAAAATAAAAAAGATACACTCACCGGGACCTGCAGCTGTGACAGCTGCCTCCCCCAATTCCGCTGCGGCTGTGACAGTTCGCCTCTCCCCCCGTTCCGCTGCGGCTGTGACAGTTCGCCTCTCCCCCCGTTCCGCTGCGGCTGTGACAGTTCGCCTCTCCCCCCGTTCCGCTGCGGCTGTGACAGTTCGCCTCTCCCCCCGTTCCGCTGCGGCTGTGACAGTTCGCCTCTCCCCCCGTTCCGCTGCGGCTGTGACAGTTCGCCTCTCCCCCCGTTCCGCTGCGGCTGTGACAGTTCGCCTCTCCCCCCGTTCCGCTGCGGCTGTGACAGTTCGCCTCTCCCCCCGTTCCGCTGCGGCTGTGACAGTTCGCCTCTCCCCCCGTTCCGCTGCGGCTGTGACAGTTCGCCTCTCCCCCCGTTCCGCTGCGGCTGTGACAGTTCGCCTCTCCCCCCGTTCCGCTGCGGCTGTGACAGTTCGCCTCTCCCCCCGTTCCGCTGCGGCTGTGACAGTTCGCCTCTCCCCCCGTTCCGCTGCGGCTGTGACAGCTGCCTCTCCCCCCATTCCGCTGCGGCTGTGACAGTTCGCCTCTCCCCCCATTCCTCTGCGGCTGTGACAGTTCGCCTCTCCCCCCATTCCGCTGCGGCTGTGGAATGGCCCTCAGTACAAGTCAATGGTCTTGTATTAGACGTGATGATGTGAGCAGTCCATACACTGTCAGAGGTTGGGGGGATAATGCGGGGACTCTGATGTA